CACACCTGACAAATGATATTATATTCTCCTGACTTTTCTCTTTCCATTTCATATGGCACTGACAAGGAGAATTTTATTAACAATCAGGAGCTTCTCAAATTGGTGATCATTTCCTTTATTCTCATGACCTTAATGTTTGATTCAAGGGTGAAATCGTAAAAAGAAATCAGAAACCAGTCACCTTGAGTGGCAAAGGATTAGTGCTGGTTTGGGAGGGTCTTTGCGTATCTCCAAATTTAAAGGAACGGATGAACAACTTAAACAGAGGTTAAGGTTTCAAATATGAATCAGAGTGTAAATTGTCACGTTAAGATCTCCGAAAGTTGCTTGCAAATACTTATGAGGCTCTGCATACTTTAAGGTTTATACACAATCATGCCCCTCGACAAAAATTAAACTGATGAAAATGGTTTTTCATCAGGGTTTAGAGGCAATTATAACTGGCTAATAACCGTGTTTATTATATAGCTGGCAGCGCCCGTGGGAAATATGAAGCGAATCCTGTTTCCTGATTGGCTGCCTGAGCGGCAAGGATGGGCCCATCTTCCCTGATTTGATCCCGCACAAAAAAAAAAAGTGCGTGAAGCGAACTTACAATTTTCGCAACTTCTGCACAATTTCGGCGCAAAAAGCGACAGAAGACAGACACATGTCGTATATCAATGTTAGGACTCGTCCACTTTTAAACTTTCCCAGGCCTTGAAAATGATATTATAAGATTGCATGACTTTCGAGGTATATACTAAACCGTATGAACCCTGCATGATTTGAATGTAAACAGAAGTGTGCTGTTAGTCTGTTATAAATTGCACTTTAAAAGAAAAACTGAGGATGGTGTATCGTGAGCTGGTAGGACGAATTATTGACTTGGCAAAGGTAAACAGCTTTGTCTCTGCCACAGTAAGGTTAAATAATTAAAAAAAACTTCTTTATCTGGCCTTGAATCATTACACAACCTAATTTTAAAAACGTTGCCACGGAAAAGAGCTAATAGAAATAAAAAACACAAAAAGCCAAATGAGGAGTAATGAGCATATAAATTACTCTCTCGTGATCTAAAAGGGAGGCTCTTATTTGGTCTAAACGGTTGTGTGTTGGAAAACTGTTACGGCCTAAGGATACAACTTTGCAATAAGGGGGGGAATAGTACTTCATTAAATAAAGCCTCTTGAAAATTATTAGTTAATTTCGCCGTAGTCAGCCACATCAGAATTTGGTACTAATTCTGTGACTTAAGTAACCTCTTGGAGCCTATAGTTTAAAATCAAGAGTTAAATTTTAACAACTCTATTCGGACAAAGCGACCAAGAATGTTGCCGCTGCTTTCACCTGGGATATCGGTCTGTTTAAAGTTATCCCTGGAAGCTTTTTTAGGGATCCCAATGTTCCATATTTCCGGGAAATCGATTTGCATTTAGTGTTTTGAAAGCGCAGAGCATCACCAAAAGGGGTGTCTTCCCCATAAGTAAAACTCAGGATAGATGATCACATAGTCCTGGATACTTCAATAATACCCACTGGATATAAGTGATTACTCATCTGACGTGTTTTATTATGATTTTAGTTTTCATAAAAAGAATATGAAGCGCTTCGTTATCCTGCTAATTACTCTAGCGGTGGCGAATTCATTTCCCTTGAAAAATGAGGAAAAAGCCGCGCTGAAAACGAAGGTAATTTTCTACCACAAGAGCTTTGGATGTTTCAGATGAACTATCATGTTCATAGCGTTAATATAACGACATTTATTTTCACATCTGAAGTAATTTTTAATTAAGTGTCAGAAATAATGCAAGAGTGTCTTATTTTGTTTTAACGGGTATTAAAAAAAAACTGTTGATTTATTTTTGGCCTTTAATTTCATGATGTAAACTGAATCAATCAAGAAGCAATTGCGGTTAAATTGGTTACTTGGTTGTTGAAAGTAATCCGGTATTGCGTCGACTCTGACGAAGGGCTATCACTCGAAACTTCAGCTTTACAAACTTTTTGTGGAGATCGATTTCCATAAAACCTATTAATCATCTGATATCCCTCACCGATATCCTATCTCCGCATTAGACAGTTAATCTGTTTATATCTCGAGTTTTCATTGGCATCTTCTGATTTTTTTTCTTCTTTCTGATGGACCCTTATAATTACTCTAGATCTGGTTTTGGTTTTACCAGACTCAACCGAAAAACGCGCTCTCTATCATGCTTGTTGTCGGCTATTAGCTATTGTGTTGTTGGCCATTGTGTTTCTTATTTTGTTGCTTTTAGATGATATCTCGGAATCATTATTTCTCATTACTACTATTATTGACAAGACCATTTTAATTAAAAGGTCTTGGGTCCCCGTGTACTAGATTCTGGTAATCGCAGGATCCTACCAAATAGACGAAATATTGCTAAGTGCATTTCAACTTTTTTACTGCTTTTTGCAAAGTGTCACGGAGCAGATTTTTTAAAGTCAAAGTTGAACAATACTCCCCCACACACACACCCACACTCACATGTCGATTAAGTGCAGTTTTCAATTCTTCTGGATTTGTAGAAGAAAAATTCGATCTATGAATGTGGCTGAGATAAACCTCCTTTCTAAAAGCACTGCACTGGTGTGAGTTTGATGCATAGATATGAGTGTTCCAAAAATTGTACGTAACTCGCGCGGGCCAGAAGAGAAAACTCAGAAAAAATCATTAGTTCTTTGTTGTTAGAAAACAGTTCAAATTTTTTGATCTTCAAAAAATAAATAAAGCAATGACAATTTCAAACGTTATCACTTACCTTTGCAGAAATACCTCTTAACCACTCCGCTCCACAAAGTGGTTGGGGCAGCAATGTTGGTCGGTCATCAATGGATGCTAGTGTCAGCGGAGGACAAAAAAATAGTTGACTGGGGCATTAATGGTAAACGACTCTGGCGCATCGGTGGTGGTTATAGTCGAGGCAATTGAAGCATCAGTGGTAGTTATGAACGTAACAATGGCAAATCGAGTGTGGACATCAGTGGTGGATTGGGGAACAATGGCCCACCGAATTGGCGCGTCGTGTCCATTATCAAAAGAAATTTGGTAAACATAATTGTTATAGTTGTTGCTGTAGACTACAAACAGTCCTTCCTTTCGGAGAAGTCTGTTGAGCGTTTCCAAAAACTTCAGCGAGACAAAAAAATTAAGTTTGCGCGCCACGGAGAGTTTGGGAGTGTGGTGCCTCACTCTTAAAACTCCCCACACACCACCCCCGTTGTTTATCTATCCATCCATCCATCCATCCTTCCATTCATCTACTAATCCATCCGTCCATTCACACACCATTAGTCTGGTAATGACTGAAATTTATAAAAACAAAAATCAGAGGTTAAGATGAATAAGATAAATAAGACCCCTTCCTTCCGATTTTTTTTTTTTTTTTTTTTTTTATTTCAGACCCACAGGTGAGCTACTTAGGAGGAAGTCATGAATGAAACCTGCGCTAACTTAAATTTTCTTTTCTTGATAAATTTCCAGTTCCATATCGATCTCTAATTTTGATAAATTTTCTCACATTTCAGGCCCACCTTACAACATTCGGACGAAATAAAGGTCAACGCTCCAGTGATATGGGGAAATATAAAGAAGAAAGTGTCTCAATTTTTTCAGCTTTAGTAAGAAACACAGCACTTAGACTCAATTTTGTAACAGTACTTAATAATTCTAATGATTAAGAAATGGCACTAAGAAGCAAAGAAAGGATTAAAAAGGAGCAAAGTTCGGTGTTTGGATATTCATTTATTTAACCCTTCACACCTTAACATTGATATTCATACACCCCTGACTTTTCTCTTTCCATTTCATATGGCACTGACAAGGAGAATTTTATTGACAATCAGGAGCTTCTGAAATTGGTGATCATTTCCTTTATTCTCATGACCCTAATGTTTTATTCGAGGGTGAAATCGTGAGGAGAAATCAGAAATCAGGTTTGGGAGAGTCTTTACGTATCCCCGAATTTAAAAGAACGGATGAACCAGTTAAATAGAGGCTGGGGTTTCAAAAATCATATCTGAGTGTACATTTTCCCGTTAAGATCTCCGAGATCGAGTTACTTGCAGACGCTTATGAGGCTCTGCGTACTTTAAGTGTCAGAAATAATACAGGAGCGTCTTATTTTATTTGAAAAAGTTAAAAAAAAAAACCCACTTTCGCTTCATTTTTGGCCTTTTATTTCATGATGTAAACTCAATCAATCAAAAAGCAATTGCGGTTAAAATGGCAAATTGGTTGACGAAAGCAATCGGGTATTGCGTAGACTCTAACAAGGGCTAACACTCGAAACCTCAGCTTTAGCAACTCTTTACGGAGACCGATTTCCATAAAACCAAATAATCTTGTGATATCCCTCACCAACGCAGCACTAAGGGCTCTATAGAAACTCACCGTCTTTATTCGGGGATTGCATTAGCTTTGCTTCACTTCTCCTTGTGTGTGGTCTAAGACATTGACGACAATCTATCAACCAATCAAATGCAAAACTAAAACCAAACACGACTTCATTACATTATTTCCTTTTCATTCCCGCATTAGATCATCCCGCATTAATCTGTTTATACCTCGAGTTTTCATCGGCATCTTCTGATATTTCCTTCTTTCTGATGGACCCTTGTAATTACTTTGGTCTTGGTTTTACCAGACTCAATCGAAACACGCGCTCTCTATCATGCTTGTTGTCGGCTATTGGCTATTGTGTTGCGTTATCATATTTTGATTTCCTTTTTTGCTGTTTTTGTTGTTGTTGTTCCAAGATACTCAATCAAAAAGGCTACACTAAAGTCTTAATGGTGTTGATAACTTTTAGATGATATCTCTAAATCGTTATTTCTCATTGCTACTATTATTACAGTAAATGGTTTGAACTCGGTGGTAACATGTAATAGTGTAGTTTGATAGTCCGGGTGAGTGTAGTCCCGTAGTTTCTGTTGTTGTAACAGAAATTGTGATGAAGAACATCGTGGAAAGCGCCCTTTCGACTTGCCGACAGACGATACCACTTTGGTTACGCTACGTTGATGATACTTTCACCGCCGTGCGAGACGACGAAATCGACGCATTCCACCACCACCTTAACGAACAAAACAATGACGTACAGTTTACTAGAGAGGTCGAAGAAAATGGTAAACTACCTTTCCTAGACTGCCCGGTAAGCCGTGACGACAACTCACTACGGACAACAGTTTACAGGAAACCGACACATACCGACAGATTACTGGACGACTCATCCTACAACCCGACATCACACAAAGCCACTACTATCAAGACTCTTACCCGACGAGCGCAACTAGTATGCAATACGACAGACAGTTTATCCGACGAGAACAAGTAACTTAACCGTGTTTTTTTAAAGAACTACAACGAAGACTTCATCCAACATAACTCTCACAGACCTACTACTACTACCGAAGCTAACGACAACGCAACTCCTACGACCACAGCAACTATACCATACATAAAGGGCATATCTGAGAAGATCTCGCGCATCCTACAACCATTAAATATCCGCGTCGCTCACAAACCTATTACCACACTACGTCAGTTACTGACTAACGTCAAAGACAAAGACGAACCGAGGAACAGACAGGGAGCAGTGTATAAGATCAATTGCTCCGACTGCCACGCCTCCTACATAGGTGAGACTGGCAGAAACCTCACAACTAGACTGACTGAACACAAACGAGCGACAAGGAAAGGCGATGTCAACAATCACATTGCTGAACATCACCGACTTACGAGCCACACTATTGACTGGGACTCTGCGCAATGCCTAACATACAGCACCAACTACTTTCAACGACTGACCCTGGAAAGCTGGTTTACTAACTTGGAACAGACTCCCCAAAAGATGTCAACCACTACCGGCACCATACAAACGACTCATTCACGACATTAACATTAACATTACCAACGAACCGAATAGAACGACCTAACTTCACTGACGAATCCAAACCGACCAATCACGACTGACCCACGCCACTTGAGTCTTACAGCCAGTAACATCACGGCAAAACTGACCAATCAGTTTATACAAACCGGACGCAGTACATTCGACTGACAACAACCTTTCACTTGACTCTGATGATGACTTCCGCTCAGGTTGTCGAAACGTCAGTCACCATTACCGACAACATTCCTTCTCAGGACTACACTCACCCGGACGATCAAACTACAGTATTATACTATTATTATTGTAAAGGTCTTGGGTACCCGTGTACTAGATGCTGGTAATCGCAGGATCCTACCGAATAGACGAAAGATTGCTAAGTGCCTTTCAACTTTTTTACTGCTTTTTGCAAAGTGTCACGGAACAGATTTTTTGAAGTCAAAGTTGAACAATACCCCCTTTTCCCCCCCCCACACAAACACACAAACACACACAAACACGCACACACACACACACACACACGCACACACACACATATATATATATATATATATATGTTACATGAATATATATGTATATGCATGTATGCATGGGTGTATGTATGTATGTAAACCAGGGCATATTAGTTTGATAAAAATAACGAACAAATACACAAACGATTTCTAATCAAATGAGAAGAGAGTTTCCATTGAGATCGCGGGAGTAAAAGGGTTAATCAAAAGCTATGACTGATATAGTGAGCAGTTGTACTAAATATTATTCCAAGAAAATCCAACTTTACACGTTAATACAGTGACGTTAAACAAGCTTAATTAGTTTAAACTCTGCAGGCCTATTTGCCAATCCTACGTCACATAATAGTCAAACCTACACAAGGTAAACTAACTGCAAGAGCAACACAAATGGTAGTTACTAAAATATGCAAAATTGAGATTGATATTACGATTATTTCCCCTCAAACAGCTGGGATACAGCAAATCTGAAGCTTTAGACCACACAACAGGCCTACCTGCACATCGTGGCCTCTGCATCTCAGTGTAATATAAAACCTAAAATCTGAATAAGATACATTCAGAATTTCTAAAATTATACTAGGGCAGGCTTTAAGCACAATTTTTTTTTTTTTTTTTTAACAGGATCTATCTATCTTTCAAGAAAGATAGAAGCCCTATATCCTTTTGCTTTAGTTTTTTCTCAAACCTTAACTGTGAATGAGTGAGTTTTTGATAAAACATTAAAAATTTTCAAACCCCTTTTGGTTGAACGAAACAGCTAATACCCTTCGGCACTGTAGCACAACGTTTATATTCTACGGTCTCACTACTCACAATACTTTATCGGATCGGAAGAAATATAGCCCAGCAAATCGAATATAAATGAACTCTTAAGCAAGTCTAAGTACAATGTAAATACGCTTGAGAAATAATTCTCTCGTCTATTCACTATGCAATTAATAGTCATTGTGTTCGTTTCTAAGATTGTACTCTCAGTAATTTCAATACGCTTCATTTAAGTGAATCTAACAAGTCTGACATGTGATCACAATAACAGTGGTAGTTAGTTCCTCAAATAAATCTTATAATGACAATCTTGACAATGACAGAATAAGAATCAATTTGCAAGGACTAAATTCTACTTTATACCTGTAGATTTGTAGTGTAATTCGAAAAGGACGCGACGTTTGACTGTGTTAAGACCTTGCTTCCTCAATCTGCTAGACAGATGTCTTAATAAAAGTCACTATAACTGATAAAGTACCAAATAAGACTCGAAAGGTATGTTATGGAACGAAAAATTGCAATTAGAAGCAGCAAACGTGCCGACTCTGCTATTGTTTAAGTATTGGTTTCTGTTTGCAATAAAAGGGGAGTCCCTAGACCATGATTCTGCGCAAGCTTGAAGTTCATGACGTGCCGTCGAAACCGGAAGTGCTAAAACAGTAAATGGTTTGAACCGGGGTTAGCCAGTAAGTGTGACTCGAGGGGTTGGAACTTGTTTAAAAAAAATTCACCGTCGATTCCTTATTTCGACATTGGGTAAATAAAAGAAGGACAGGGAAAGATTTCTGTTGAGCCTCAGTCTACTCTTGAATTAAGCTTCAGCCTCAGAGGTAATCTATCGTTCTCGCCACTGTCTGCTTTTAACATACAATGCAGACCAATAACACCTTTCCTCACATTGGAATGATCTACAGAAAACCTTAAAAGGATTAATTCAATTGAGGGACAAAATCCGTTTATGTTAGCAACTTTTCTTCTTCTGTTTTATTGAAAACGATATTATTTTTAATGTTCTAAGCGAAAGATATATAGAAATTACATCCGTACATGTAATACCTAAGAAACAGGAGTGAGGAGAACGATTTTCCTGAAATATCGATTACTAAATACGTCATAACTAAATTCAATGTAACGATACATTCTTCCAAGAGCATCTTCGATGTATGCTGAAACATCAGTTTTCAAACTAGGTTTCGTTGTTTGCCCCTTTGCGTTGTACTGAATATCACGTTCAAGACTACTGTTAGAGCTAATTAGTTTGATTTTATGAAAGCTAAAGGAAGGTGTTATTAAGTTAATGAGAAAGGAATACTCGGAGAAAAAGAACTCCGAATACTCTCTGTACGAGTCATCCTCGAGACTCAAGGGTTGTAAGTCGATTTAAGTTAGGGAAAAAGAGCCCCAGTAAGAAAATTTCCCCAGGGACTCTCCCGCCCTGAATTAAAATCTACTCTACGAGGATGAATAGGAATCAAATTCGAACCTTCGACCTTCAGATTAGTATTCGGATGCTCTGCCACTGAGCTATAACAGACTAGTGACAGGTTAGGCCGTTTATCTAGGTCTGTGGTGACAAACTTCCTGTATACTGCGAAGATAGGAATGTGAATATGTAATGCTTATGCCCAACGATGATGTAAATGAAGATGGTGAAAATGGACATTGCAGAAGTTCGAATGGAAGGGAAGCAGAAAAAAATTTCGACTCTCATTTCTAAGCAGCTTGCAACTATTCCTAGCAAATTTTTGTGTAGCAAGTAATACTCTTCATTTTATCTTTTTTCCATTCTAGATCAATATATGCATGGTAAGCTGAACATCTTGAAATATTAGCCATCATGTGCTTTAAAGCGTCGAGATATCATCGACGTCTTTGGTACTCAGCGTAGCAGAACCTATCATTTTACGATTCAACTTCGTGGTCTTCCTCTGTGGCGTAAGTTTTGCAAAGGTCAGTAACTCTCTCATGTGTCTTGCTTTCATCTCAGTTAGAGTTTTTACCATATGTTGAACGAATTTTTCCGTAAGTAACTTCATTTCATCAATATTTTTTTCCTTCACCGTCGAAAAACCTGTAAACAATGTTGAACGGTGAGTTAAACTTTGTTACTTTATTAACGATTTTCGTCTTGAAAGGGAGTGGCCGAGGAGATATTTCCAAGTAGCCTCTTCTTGACATGAAAAAAGTTCCCCCGGTTTCAAATCAAACACAGAGCGTAAGGAGATCGTAAGCGTTAGCGCGCACTATTCCAAGCGCGCGTCGAAGATATATCTGAATTGTGTTGGATTTATAATTTCGTATTCTCTTCAATTAGCTGGTTTCGAAACACACCCCCCCCCCTCCCTCCCTTCTCTCTCAACCGAGAATAAGTAAGAAAAATAGATTGTGACTCACAACCCATTCATACTTGCAAAACATGTTAAGTGAACCAAGTTTAACGAAATGAAAATCAGAAACAGGTGACTGGGAAACTGAATTTTCCGAAGGATTCGAGTAATCACTAACTTTCCTTTCAATATGCTAAATTCGACGTCGAAAAACATCTAGCTAAGCAGCTTTGTTGATTGAAAAACGTTTTAACCGTGTTTAACAGCCATGAAACATTTTTTTTAGCTTTTAAGTTAAGGAGTTATGAGTTTCTCGCTTCCTTTTGCGTTCGGCGAAGTGTTTTATGGATCTACTTTGAGTTCCCATTTTCTCTTTGAGGTGTTTCTTTTGTTATGATTGGCGACTGTAGTTAACATTATTTTGCGTTTGGTTTCAGAACATTTGAAATCGAAATGTGTTCTAATCAGTATAATTGGTTATCGCTTACCGCAGGCGTGAACTCTTTTCCGCTCTCGTAGTCTCCGGATTGCTTCAAAGAGCAGCCCCAGGGCAGCAGCTGTTATTGCACAAGCGGCTATAATGATAAGTGTGCTTTGATAAAGGTCACTTTCTTTGTCAAACAAACCAGTCGAGATATCTTCAATATCTTCCCTGTCGCTCAGTCCCGATCCCTGTGGCGTAAGAACAATTTAAGTTGTTCATTACCGCCAAAGAAATTATGCTTACCGTTAAAAGAAAATGAAAACGCTGGGGGATTTCATTATGCTGATATGAGTCCTTTTATTTCATTTATAGCATTGCGAATCTTTCCTGTGCATATTTTGGCTTGTGATTTCG